CTTGTGAAATTTGCAATTGCAACTTTAGACAATTACAACAACGTAGCTCTGGAAATCCGTTTTGGACAAGGCCTTTGTTTCAAAATGTGTCATAATTTTTTTTTGGAAAAACCTTGACCTTCCCAGGTGCTCCACACATGTTTCTGGACAGTAATTGACCAGGAAGTTTTTTGATTACGGATTAAGACAGAGACCTTGGGATTTCTCGACAAGTGGCGTATCTTTCCTGAGAGTTTTGCAGACTGCTGTCCATCGTTTCTATTTCATTCCAAAGCAAGATCCACTCGATAACTTTTGTGAATTATTAACTTTTAGCTGGAGGGACAGGAATGTGTTCTCTGCAGTCTGCGTTCCCGTAAGGCCTTCCTTCCGTCGACCCAGATCTCCAAATTGTTTTGTTTAAGAATCTCGGTCAGAGTGCCTCTAACTCCACCCCTCCCCTAAAAGTGGGAGGGTGGTTGTAACATACCACGTACCTGGCAGTAGATCAGGGGTAGCAAGGGAAGTTAGTCAGCGTCTGCGACGCAGCTCAAGGTTAATTTACATCAACTTGCCGGTAACTCAATAGACGTTAGATAAATTGTTCCCAGATAGTCGTTCCTCACTAATACAAAGTACCTGAGTGATTGCATCAACAATTCAGGGTTGCTAAAAACCGGATGGGTGATTAAAGGGAAAATACAACATTTGCAAACATCAAAAAATAAAACTACCAAATCATTTTGAAATACCTTGCTGGACTGTTAGTGAATGACAGTGTAAAGCATCCTGTAAAATCATGGCACCTGGTATACTGTCATTTTCAAGAAAAGTGGTATATTTGTATCAATTTGCAACGCTGGTCGGCCGACCAGCGTTGGAAAAAACTGGCTTTTTTTCAAATACTGGCCCCAATTGACCATCGCACTTGTTTGCAATCGATTACACACCTATGAACGGGTACAAGCCAGCTAGACTGGTTCCCTGACCTTACAATTCCCCAATGTATGTAAACTGCTCTGTTTCTTCTTATATGGATTCAGGGAACCAGACTACAGGAAAATGATTGTTTTTCTTGGTTTTTATAGCATTTTCGAACCCAAAACCTCAAAAAAGTCGGTGTATTAACTATATTTGCTATATATTTCCAACCCCCCAATTCCATCCATTTCTGAAAATTACAGCAAAAGCAAATGATGTATATTCCCTTTAACCCTTTAGTCACTGTATCGCCCAAAACCGCCCTGCTTGTTACTCAGTGTAGCGTCTAAAACTGCCCAAACACTCTATGGTATTAAAACAACAATTCTTCAGTGAATAAACACAATGCTATACAATGTAAAACAGAATGTTATACAATGTAAAACAGGTGCTAATGGGTTAAGCATAATTGACAAATGACTTGAAATGTTTAAAATCGTCCTTAAAAGATTGCAAGTTTGTTCTTCCAGCAGCCCCCCCCCCCCCCCAATCCACCACATAAATTTCCCTCAAAACCTCAAGTATGGTTTTTGCTCAGTTTTGACAAGGAACATACATGTTAAATGTTCCTGAACTCCCCTAGGACATTTAGGTACTGATTAGGACTTCCCGGCTCATTTCGATCAAATTTATGTCCCAGGAACATTTCTTTCCCCAACTTCCGGATTATATCTAATGCAGTGAGCATGTATACCAGTAATTTTTGTGTGAAAAAAAGTAACAATTTGGAACTACTTAATGTGATTTCCTTCAGGATTGCTCAGCTTTTGCTGAAGATTTAAACAATAAGCATTCAAAATCAAACCAAAGCTATTAGCATCACAGCTAGTTCCAATTAGGCCAACTTGAATTTGCCAACTTTTCTTGATTAGAATTAATGAAAAAAGTTACTCAAGATTTGTAGGCTTCAAACGTAGTTATGGATTGGGTAATTGGAGTACCGGTAGTATCCTTGGTGGAACGTACATGTCCGTTATAATTACCCAATTTTCCTTTAGAAAAACATTACATCTACCTTTAGTGGTAGACAAATTGGTCGCATCTGCAAAATTGATATCCCCCATGTTCAAGTACGATCGCCCATGTTAACCGGTACCTGGATACAGCAGCAACATGCGCTCATTAGTCATCACACAGTATACCAGGACACTGTCTCAAAGCTCCCCGCCAAGAAAATTGCCGCGATTGCTGCCAGGAACTTTTCAAAGAATGGTTGTTGTCAACGTGAGGAACAGTCGTAGCGATTGACTGGTTCTGACACCGCAGTGGTTTTTTTACCATCGTTGAGAAGCGGACTTGTTTTCTGAGATTAGTGAAGTATGAGTGTGATTTCAGACGTGCTTGGTGCAGATAAACGTGGTCTGCTTGGAAAAAACTTCAATGGTTTGGCAGGCTCGATTTTTGTCTACAAGGTATGTGGTTGCTTTTTTTACTGGGCTTACAAAAAACATACTTTGTACAGTACAGGTACATGTAGTTGATAATCGAGTTACAGGTGTGTGTGCTTGACAGGTGTTTGGGATAAGATTGTTTCAATCTGTGTGAAAGGGGCAGAGTTGTAGTGGAGGCCATTCCAAGTATCAGCTTCACTACCAGATTTTGATGGTTTGGTATGGATAAAGCTGGATAATTCACACACTGGACAGTAAATACTCAACAAACGAAAGATGTGAAGCAGCCTGTAGCTTTCTGGAAATAGATTTGATTTGAGAGTTGGTTGCTTGGTTTGTTTTGCAGGCCTTACTTTTGTTTCTTTTAATAGTTGGCTACACTGGCACCATTTATTGACACTTAGCTGTTAGCTGTGACTGAAATAGGCTTTTTTGTCGATGGCTTTAGGTTTTCACTAGTTTTTATGCCATAAAAAGGCAAGCAAACTAACAAAATGACAAAACTAATCTTCTGGGTATAAAACAGTTGATTTGGACATGGCCTTACTAGGCATTAGACTTTCTGTGTTTTTTTTCCTGAGCATAATGCAACCTGCCGCTTGATTCTTAAAAATGGTGCTGCTACCATGTACTGCCCTCATTTTGGCTTAAAAACTACCTGTACTTAGAGGCTGTGCTTTTAAAACCTGCCAACAAAGCTAAATATCAAGGGGTCTGTGCTGCAGTCCAAGAGTTACAACTTCTAACTCAAAGCTGAAATGTGATTGGTTGCTCCATTAATGATGCACCTGTGAGGTTGCAACCCTATATGTGATGCGATCAAGCTAAATGAGTCGTTTGTCGGGAACTTTCAATTGGAGATTCAGGACAAAATAGGGCCACTTCATCACATCACTTCATCACATCTCTTGGTGTTCCAATCTCCATAATTTTGGAACTAAAGATGGTATCAGCGTGCGGTATTCCCAGCAGTAGGCCTATTGCTGAGATTGTGCTCATTTCAAATCTGTAAAAAAATAAAAATTGACCAGGGTCGACAAATGACTCATTTATCTTGATCGCATCACATTTTAAAATTCCATAGACACTAGTGCTAAATGCCAATACTATAACATTCTTTCAAAAATACTCAGAACTCTCACAGGTATTTAGGCTGCACAGAAAAATGATGATAAACATGTCATCTTTCATTTTCTTTTCAATTTTTGGTGGGTTGACCATTGACTTTTCGAGAAATTCTCACCCAAAGAAGACGACCCCTATTTTTCCCAAAGTGGAAAAGTAGCCATCTTGAGACGATCCCTCCACAACATTGGCTATTAAAAAAGAACCACTTTCGGGACAAATCACATCCAAAATGCTCAGAATTGGAAGCCCCAAGTCGAGGCAAGAGGTTCATTGCCATATCTCTTCAATTCCCCAATGCCGTGGCTCTCACAACTCTTTAATATAGAATATTTCGAGGGTATAACTTTTATTCATGAGCTCGGCTGACGTACCACACAGCCACACTTCTAGCCCCCTCATATTTCACGAGTGTCTCTAATCAGACAATTAGGCTTGAAGTCTGTCTTTCACTTTGACCGAGACCTTTATCTGTCTGCAGCTGATACCCATCCAGTTTTGCTAATATCCGTTAGATAAGGTCATCGGTCATTTTAGTAATTGATATTTGTGTGTTGCACAGGTGGTCATTGGTTTGAGTCTTAATTCCTTCATGATGAGTGACCGTCTTGGTCTCTCCCTGCCCCCCCCCCCATCCCTACTTCTTCCCCCTCCCCCTTTTCCATACCTCAAATAGGTATGCAGGGGAAAAGCTGCTAGCAGTTAAACAATTAAAGTAATGGCATACACGATGTGGCCTTCTCACCTCCCGGGTCTTGGGGAATAATTGCTCAAGCTTCTGTTTGCATTTTGAATTCACCTATTTTGATCTTTTGGTAACCTCGAATGTAAAGGTAAAAAGAATTGGCGTTAACATTTTTATTGAGGTATGGTCCACAAGATCACTAAACATAAAGGTAATAGTTTATTTGGTTCATTTGGTATAAGTTAATTTGATTACTGTTTTTCCTAAAAAATTGCCTGTACGTGTAATTCGATACCTGATGACATCACCATGATATACTAACATGGAGACCAGAGTCAATGTTTGTCCCAAGTTTCAAGTTAATCTGACTTTCCATCTAAGAGATTAATATTACTGATTAACACAAATACACACATTTAATCTTACCTTCCATACCTTCCATACTGTGGACATTTCTTTGTATTCATTTTACTTCAACCCAATTTTTTTTATCATGATTTCCTTGACTGTTCCTCTTCATTTTGCGACGGATAAACCTAACCCCAAAAATGCCTCTAAACCTGTTTTCCAGAGAGGGGGAAACCTAGTGTGGACGTGTGCAAGTCCACAAAGCGTTCACGCTTCCTGCTTCCTGTGGACCTCTTTTGTTCACAGGTCCACAAAGAGTATGCAAGGTTAGAGCAGACACACAAACACAAAACTTTTTGTGCTTGGAAAAGGAACTGACGCTATCACGTTCAGTGACATTTCAGTGTCTCTGAGTCAAAAGAAACAGCGCCCTCAGCAGCGAATGCACAGATCCAATAATCAATTACTCTCTTGTGTCTCTTGTGTCCTAGGTTGGGCAAGAAGAAATCATGAAGGAGAAGACGATGCTCTTGGAGAGGATACGACTCTTGGAAGCGGAGAACTCAGCTCTGGTCCTGGAGAATGAGAATCAGAGGGAGCAGTACGAGCGATGTCTGGATGAGGTTGGTCTAATTATCATTCCTTAACATCTATTTCAGACATACACTCCAGAATGGAGCCGCACCAATTGCTTTTATTAGTATAATTTATTTCTGGTAATGAAGCCAAGGATTCCTCAAAAGCGCCCTAGGCACTGTAGCTCACAATGCCTGCAGAAACCTGTAGAGAGAAGACGATTACAGTTTTAAAGGTGGGAGGAAAACCCCAGAAGAATATTTTGGGGAAAACCCACGGAATCAGGTAGGGACTGAAAACCCAATCCACATGTGGCTAGGGTAGGAATCGAACCCGGGCCATAGAGGTGGTAGGCGAGGAAAGAACTGCTGTGCCAACCTGACTCCCCAAACAGGCCGGCCTAAATAAATACTAATTATTAATATTAATATTAATTTTCCATTGACGAGACTCTGCAGTAATTCCAAACAGCTGCAGCACTTGATCTTTAACTGCGTGGTATCTCCTGTTTTTTTAAACATGGAAGTTTGCGTTTACGCAATTTACATAATGTCGTTTAAAGGCAAACTTACATCTCCTCTATGCCAAATCCTATCATGCAAAATACTGATAGAGAGAAATTTCTGATGGAGAGAGTGGCTGCAGAGTGTTTGGGGTTGCCATTTTGTGTGAAGACTAAAATGCCAAATGTTCTCTCAATTTGAACATTCTTTCAAGGCTCAATTTTCTCCTCATGGACATGCTTTAATGAACAACTCTTTCATGAATGGTAACATCAGGAGACATGGGTTGAGCAGAGTCATGTTTTTATTCCCACAGGTGGCTAATCAAGTGGTTCAGGCACTCTTGATGCAGAAGGTAAGTGGGAATTAAAAAAGGGTTGAAAGTCTTCTCGAGTGTGCTCTGAATGTGACAAACAGATTGTCTGAATCCTTAGAGGAACTCGGGCTATGCGCACATGGCCTGATTTTTGCACTTGGATTCCAGAAAGGTTTCGGTTTCGGTCCCATGAAGAAACTCAGTTTGGGTTTGAAAACGTCGGTTGATGATTGATACAAATGCTGATAATTTGCGTATTTCTTGGGTTTTTGTTTTTTAAAACCCCAACAGAACTCAACCCATCGAACCCCAAACGTTGGAATCTGTCAGGATTGGTACAGTACCACTAAACTGACAGTCTTTTACATTGGGTTGGCACACCTCCAGAATCAAAGTCGGAAATATGTGTGTGCAGTTTCCCATATGGTGTTGGAATTAGCGAGGATGGGTGTGGTTCCTAGTCAATCATGCAAGGGAGTAAGGGTAAATGTGACTGAAAATTGTGGTGCTTAGCATAGAAAGTATTCAGTTCATACCAAAGGCTGCTATATCCATGTCAGATTGTCACTTGGCTACGGCTACGGCTGCCAGTAACACACATGAGCAAGTTCGGGCAAGGACCATTAATCGACTGTGGTTGATTTGTGACGTTAACTTACGCCTGTGCACTAATACATGTAGCAATGTGCGAACGTCTCTAGTCAAACGCTGGTCATAGTGTCATCGCTCCCTGCTGTATGTTATGAAAGGGCGTCACTATTGGTTACCAGCGATGCAACCAGAGCCAGTAGGCTGGTTCCAGATAGTCGACTAGCGTAGTCAACCACCGTCGACTAGACAGAGTTCGGGCTTACTTGAGTCAAACCATGGTTAATCATTGGGCAACAACAGTTCTTGCATAAACTTGCCCAGTTCCAGTCACAAGTAATAGGGGAAGAACAATACGTCTCTCACAAATGACATTATTTCCTACAGACCATCCACGTGCATCGGCATTTTGAGCGTCAACTTGCATAACGCGCATCGGCTGCGTCGTATTTCGAATACATTTCGAGCAACAAGCGCAAACGTTTGGAACACTGCGTAATGGATGCTTGATTGCGTAAATACGCAGTTGCAGTCCTAAAAAGATGGCCATTTTTGAGAGAGACCTATTACAACTGAACGCTGTTGTCACAGTCTGTAAGAGTGGCTTGTTAGTCAACTTGCAAATGGAGGATTTGTGATGGACTTATGAGGATGAGAACTTCCAAGTACTTGTGAGGACTTGTGATTGACTTGATTGCAATGTTAAGACATTTGTGCTTACTTGTGGGAAGGTTTCATATTAGTACTAAAGCTACAGGATCAGTAGACGACTAGCCCAGCCCAGCGCAAGGTGTCTCAGTGCTGAGACCAGTTGTGCGTTCTTTCACACCTAATTCCCAGGTAATTGGTTCCGAAGGGAGAATCAAGAACCAACTGATTCTACACATGTGAAGCATGTCTGTCTATTTGATAAGGATTTTACTCATTGGACAACCTGTCTGCCTGCCGTTCCTCACCGACTGTGAATCATTATAAGCAGGTTAATACGTGATACAGTCCATCTGTTTGCAGCGCTGCGTTGCGTATTAGCGTGGTGCCTTGGTGGCGGCACGGTGCCAAGTCAATCGGTTACATCATGGTTTAATTTTGGAGTCTGGATCCCCAATTTAATCTATTTGGTTTACGAAAAAGGAAAAAGGAGAGGACCGGGGTGTCTAACACCTCCTACATATATCGGTCTTCCGTTCTCGTGTCTCCACCCCCCCTCCCGAAAAAAACTAAAACCACACACACACACTCTCCAAGAGAAAACTGACTTCATTTGCACCATCAACATTCCTTCTGCCATCCAAATTTTCTACAGGTGTCCATAAATCATTGAGAAACATCTGTTTGTTGAAGCCAAACTTTTTGTGCCACACTGCATTGGGAGATAAGGTTTTTATGCTGGAAAAGTTCCAAAGAAATACTTGTGAATGAATAAGGTTGATTGGTGGAAAATGGGTGGAATGCCTGCAAAGTTTCAGAAATGACCCTCTAGGTGGCTCTCTCCATTGAGAATTGCTGAGCCAGGTCTAAATTACTTGGCCATGGCTTGCAATCATACATGATAGATCATTTTTGTGCGGGAATTATGTGCGCATCTTTGAAGGTGCTACTACACGTTAAGTGCATTCGATCAAGTAGGTGCTTGCAGGATTCACTGCATGATGGAATGAAGCGAATACGGATTCTTTTCTAGAATTGGTCTTTAGATACTGGACTATACATGTTTGGTAGAACAAGAGCTTGAATAATGCATGTAGAAATCCAGAAATCGTTAAAATTATAACTTTAAAAGGGGTATTTCTTTTATCACAATTTTGCACACCCCATTTTTTACGAATGGAAGAGGCACACAGACCATCGTACGCACTCGGCACCCCCCCCCCCCCCCAATCCGTCCCCCACTGACAGGTCCCTATCATGACACATGACACATTTACACCGGTAGACCAATCCATCGACCACAATTAGACAACATTACTGACATGTCACCACAACACTGACACCTTATTGGTTGAGCATTTAGTGTTTAAACCTGTGCATGACTGTGACGCCGCCTGAGCAATACCACCTAATTATGGCCCCTGGATGTAGTCCTTAACAGATAATTCTGGATCTTTGACATCTCCACTTGAGCTATAAACACATATCCACGTCCTGAACACCTGTCACATTTTGCAAATGATAATTGTCTCTAATTTTCCTGAGCTTTCTTGGAGTCTCTCCAATCCTCGGTCCCAAGTATTAAAGCAACTTTTCAAATCAAGTTTGCTTTTTGGGGGAAATTATTGGTGACCCTTAAATGTCAAGTGTGGCTTACATTTTGTATAAAGTGTGAGTTCTTAATTGAGGGAAATCCATTGGATATGTTAGGTAACAGGTTTTTGTAGGATGGAAGTGTGATTCACAAAGTCCAGTTGGTTAGACTGTTTCCTTCTGAACCAAGAAGCATTTGCTCCTGAGGAAATTGGCAGTGGCCCCTGGCATGTTGGATCGAGTGAATCTTCGGTAGACTATATTTGGTGATAATTCTTTGGAAACCATTTGAACTTTGTATTAAACTTATATCAGATGTTAACATTTCAGTAGTCATTGGACTTGTGCATAAGTACCTGTCTAACAGATGTCAAAGAATGAGATAATGCAGACATTGAAATAGAGTATATCCAGCGCCCATGAAAAGATGCTGCATGTTTGGGCTCATCTATGCAAATTAGCCACGTGCGCGCAAGCCAGCGCGTGCCAACCTTGCCATCTTTGTGTGGACCTGAAAACAAACCAGGTCCACACGATGCAGGTTGTGTGAACCTTCTGTGGACTAAGCCAGGTCCACACAAGGTTTCCCCCTCTCTGGAAAACAGGTTTAGAGGCATTTTGGGGTTAGGGTTATCTGTCGCAAAATGAAGAGGAACCGTCAAGGAAATCATCATAAAAACATTGGGTTGAAAGAGTATTCACAGTAAGAGTAAAATGTGGTTTTTTTCTCCAGTTTTTCTTAACTACACAAAGACAAAGGAATGTCCACACTAGGTATGTAATGTAGGGCTGCGTGAGTATGAAGTGTGAACCCACACAGGGATGGGTGTTCTGTCTTGAGTGTTCGGATAGCAACATCTGCTGTTCATGCTTGGAGTTCATTTCAATGTTCAAATGAGCTACATTGTGGGAGTGGTGTTTGAGAACATCTGAAATCAGAATAAAGATTCACCGGTTTGGTGGCTAGTAAGGCTGGCAAGCTGGCAAGAGAGAGGGCTGTGCTTTCCCAAATGTACTTGCTGCGCTTTTTACCTTTAAGTCAGACTTGAGTAATTCTGTCGATTTGGGTCAGGCACGCTTCTCTCACCTGGTTGGCTAGACCTGAGCTGAGACGTGACGTCTGTGTCTTGAACTATCTCCAACTGTCTGTGCACAAACCTGTCGCATCTGTGACGTCACAGTCTGGCTTTGTGACGTCCCAGACAAACTGGTGCGGAAATCCTGTATCGCTATGACATCAGAGAAGCAATTTTAGGGTGTTTTTGTCTTTACCAAGTTCTTGTTTCTATTCCAAAAATGTTCCAAATATGGATTCAGATAACCGGTGCAGTCTGGTTTACTCCAGACTGTGCCAGAGGCTGGTTTAATATATCACCAAGCTGTCAAATTTTGTCAGTATGGTGTTGTATTTTTTAGTCAAAATCCCTTTAAAAAAAGAAGTGGCATTTTCAATTACTCTGTGTATTTAGGGCATGACCTACATGTTGATGTAGCCATGTCTTGGTCCCTGAGACTGCAGAAACAGGGGTCCTTGTGTTTTATTCTGGAGTAAATGTAAGCCTTCCATTCAGAACCGGCCATCTTGGGCAACTCTTGTTTGCCAAGCTGGAACTACATACAGTCTGTCCCCCCAAAAGTGTCCATCTGACTATATTTAAAATAACTTCACAACCATTCTGTCAATTTAATAGTTTTTGACTGTGCAGATACTCCTTATCCTTGGCCTGAACCCCTATGATGAGTTTCATTTAATTTCAGTCACGTATCACTACACAATTGTCAATTGATCACAACATTTTTGGACACTGTGACCGAGTTCCGTGCCTTAATGAGTTTCAGTGTTGTGTTATGTGCGCTGTGTAAAATCCTGCATGTTGTGCCAAAGGCTGCCATTGGGATTGGAATCATGGCAAGACCTCAGTTTAATGCTCAAGGGCAAATGATTCCCATCCCAAACCACATCAGCATTTCAAAAGTATTCAGAGGGACACTTGTTTTGGAACATACTGTAGTGAAATAGACGTACTCTCCAGAATTTATGGGAATTTGTTTTTTTTAATTTTGGGGGATTGCTATTGAATGAAATCTATGAAAGAAGCTGCTGACCCTTTGGAAATCATCAGTTGGTGCTTCCAAGCAGAAAAAAAAACTCCCAAAGAGAAGTTAACTCAAATGAAATTCTGCCACACAATGCACGATAGGGCTGAGGA